ATTCCTCACATGAACTTTATGAGGTAGGCACTGATACTATCCTCTTTGGGGTTCGATGGTACCAGGGGAGAGAAGAAGGGAATAAAAAATCCGCGAAGCTGGTGAAGGATTGCACAGAAAAATTTTTTCACTTCTGCTTTAGTTATCTTTCATTTTCTCCCCTCTTCTCTTTCCTCCCAAACAGTATAGTCAGAAATAACGTGTCCAAGTTGTCACAGTTTTCCTTCTGAACTGGGGAGTCCGTGTATGAAGCTCCTAGCATTTGGTGTTACTCAGAGAAATGAGTTTCCCTTTCCTTTCCCCTGGAGAGTATTTGAAACCACTCTGTTTGGGTTCTAGTCTGTGGTTCTTTTAGTGTTGTTTATGGGGGTGATGCTGCATCTAGGAATACTTCATAGACAGGATGGTTAGGAAGAAGTACATCCTGACTAGGCCCCCAGGTTTGGATGGAGGCTTTGAAAGAACTGTCCTTTCGCTGTGCTAGGCACTGTGCTGTAAGTGCTGCAATAGAAGAATGTGGGCCCAGAGTTTCAGGAGGGGGCCCCTGACACACACTAACGACTGCCAAAGGCTTCCATGTGTGAGAGCATGCACGCTGTATTCAGGAGACTGAGCATGTCTGGTGCCCCAGAGAGGAGCTAGGGGAGTAGTTGATGGCTTCAAGGTGGTTTGGGATGGAATTGGGGGGGGGTGTCCTATATTATCCAAAGAGAAGTGCCTTTCTCTCATCTGTAAGTATTGGAATTTGAAGGAAAACCTCTTTCCCAGCCATGTAATAATTTGTAATAAGTCTAAGGCAAAGTTCAGAAGGTAACTTCTCTGATAGGCATATAATAGAGCGCTTAGAGGAAAGCCCAGGGCTTAGAAAGCCTTGCTCGTGAGCTGAATAACAGGTGAAAAGATTGTGCCTCAATTGAAGATGTCACCTTTCTGGCCCCATCTCTATAAAAACCCCTTATTTTGGAACATCAAGTATGCTAAGGGGTTGTATTTCTAAATCTGGAAAAGGACCTAGGATGAGACCCCACCACCAATGTCTACCCCAAATTTTCTGCAGCTCTACTGTGTGCGTGCACCAGCTGCCTACAGGCCAACTACACATGTGAAACAGATGGGGCCTGCATGGTTTCCATTTTCAACCTGGATGGGATGGAGCACCATGTGCGCACCTGCATCCCCAAAGTGGAGCTGGTCCCCGCTGGGAAGCCCTTCTACTGCCTGAGCTCAGAAGATCTGCGTAACACCCACTGCTGCTATACTGACTTCTGCAACAAGATTGACCTGAGGGTGCCCAGTGGTGAGTGGATACCCTTGTTGGACTATTGGCTCATCTTGGAGGTAGGGCACCCTTGTCACTTCATCCTTCTCTGTTCTTCCCCACTCCCTTTGTTTGATGATAGGTAAAGGTACCTTTTTGATGTTCCCCCAAGGTGATAAGGACTGGGATTCCTCCCAAGTCAGGTGTGCAGATTGAGGGGGTGAGTGAGACAGATGTTTCAAGTTTGTCCCAGAGGTGAAAGCTGGGTTGTAGATAGTGGCTAAGCAGCCATAGGCAAATGGTGATGGCATGGAAGTACCAGGCAGGGATCACCATAGGCAAATGTGGGCCTGATCCCAAAGAGATGGTGCCAGAGCTGTGAAGGGGGCTGCTGTGGTGAGAGTGATGGTATAATGTGGAGAGGGTCTAGAATTGGAAAAGGACAGTGACTAAGGCTGAGAAATATTAGATACTGCCTCTTTGCAAGCCTGCCACTAAGTGATTTTAAAGGTTTAGAAGTTATTACTGGGGAGGAGGTAAAGGAGAACGAAAGAGACTAGGGCAGAGCTTAGAGGAGCTGTTGTAAGTTGAAAGATAGAAACTCATCTTTTTAGGGGGTTGAGGTGGGAATAGTACTGTGAAATTACGAAGTGGGTTTTGGATGTGACGGTTTATAGGGATGCCGTAACTACGGAAGTTTGGCATTTGAGAGCATCTAGGCAGACAAACTGCCCAGTAAGAGCAAAGAGATCAAGGGCTCCCTGAACACACTGAGATGGAGAGGGGCCTTTTCACTTTGTGGGAGGTGCCGGGGTAAATAAAACCACAAGTTTCCCTTGTTTTCACTCGTTCTTTCCTTCCCACTCTCACTTGTCCAGGTCATCTCAAGGAGCCAGAGCACCCTTCCATGTGGGGCCCTGTGGAGCTGGTAGGCATCATTGCTGGCCCAGTCTTCCTCCTGTTTCTCATCATCATCATTGTTTTCCTTGTCATTAACTATCATCAGCGAGTCTATCACAACCGCCAGAGACTAGACATGGAAGATCCCTCGTGTGAAATGTGTCTCTCCAAAGACAAGACACTCCAGGATCTGGTCTACGATCTCTCCACATCTGGGTCTGGCTCAGGTACTGAGTTCTTCAGGGCATTGTTGTCTGTTGTTGACCTTCATCGCTGTTTCCCAGCAGGATAGTGTGTTTATGAAGATGGCTAGGAGCCCTGCATTTGTTTCTACTAGCACTGAGTCATTTGGTTTCATAACTTCCCTTCTTTTGGAGTCTGACGTGTAGTAAGATAAGATTATGGGTTCACAGAAAATTTTTCATTCTCTGGGATTCCAAAGGTCAAGTGCAAAACTCCTCATTCCGGAAACCCTGCCTCTCTCGGAGGCTTGTAACTGTACATCTATTAAAATTCAGCTGGTTCCACCTGAGCAGTAGAGTGCTCAATTTAAGGGCCCCTTTTGAGAAACAGGAGTGTGCCGGATTCCTTTGAGGTGGTGATGGCTAATCATTGATCGCCGGGCAACCACAAGGGGAGTTTAAGGGCATTGAGTAAAGCTTAAGTTGGGATTTGGTAATCATTGACTTGTACCAGTTGCCCAACGGTTTTTTGGTGCAGGTTAAAATAAAGGTAGCTTGGGTTCTCAGCACCATTTCCTGTACTGTCTGTTGTTAGCCCAGTCTTATTTAGATGAGGGAATTGAACCTAACAGTGGACCTTTGCCATGAGATCAGAATTTAGGATAAAGGGAATTGAGGTTTTTCAGGTCTCGGTATGGATCAGCTAGCTATTAGTTGTGAACATGACTGCAAAAGAGTTTTCATGAAGATAACAATTATTTTAGTGACAGTAGTATTCCTTTCTTGGGGAGAAAAAATCATCTACAAAGTTCACTGTTGCCATTCTAGCTAACACATACAGGATCTTATTTGTGAGAATGTTGTGTGTGTTTTATGTATGTTCCCTTGCCATGTGACAAGGCTGTTATTCTGTAGGGAAATTATGCTGTCTGTCACGGCCAGACATTCCTTCTTGAACACAAGGAATACTTTGAGCTGTGACATCTCCTGAATTTCAGTGGTTTTGCCTTTATTAAGCTCTGCAGTAGAGAGTGCCAAAATGATGGATATATTTAAAAGCTGCATATTTTTAGAAAGAGAGAAAATATGTGGCTTGTTCTCTGCTGAAAGAGGTAGAGTAGTGGTTAGAACCACCTGGCTGACTCTGACGTGGTTTGCTGATAGACGAGGAATAGTGCTGGTTTTTGGAGTCTTTTTAAGATTAGAACTGGCTGAGGCTAGGGAAGGACCATGGTGGTTATTTAATCATCTGGAGAAAAATGGCTAATAACTATTTCTCTCTGGGTGGTTTAGTTTATTCTTAATTCAGAATATGCAGAACTCCCAGGGTGTTGGATTTTTAATAATGTAATTTTTACAGCAATAAGTCCATGCTGCTTATGTGACTTCTAATTCATTTTAACAAATATATGTTGAGTCCCTCCAGGTGATAAAAGGTAAACAAAAATTAAAAAGGGAATGACCCAGGATTGGAAAGAAGAGACGGGTTTTTGGGGAGGATCTCACAGAGGAAGACACATTTAAAGGAGTCGTAAAGAATGAGTTGGAATTTTTTAAGAGAGGTAAAAGGGCAAGGAACATTCCAGGCCAAGGGAAGCACCTTGAGTAAAAGGACAAAAAGGCACAAAAGGTTCACCAAGGTATATTTAGAGAATGATAAGGACACTAGCATGGTGTGTTCGCAGTGGGGAGTAGAGAAAGGCAGGTTGGCCCAGGTGTAAAGGACATTGAGTGACATACTTTATCTTATAGGTAAGAGGGATCTACTTAAAGTTTTTATATGGGGAAATGAATGCTCGTATATTTCTGAAAGGAATTCTGACGGTGTGGAGGACAGATTCATTTATTTACCAACCTCCCTTTAAGGAGAGTGGGGTGAGGCAGAGCTGTGTGTGGGTGTGCAGGGCAGGAGCAAGGTGAGGGGGGGAGGCAGGGAGACCAGTTGGAAGTCTTTAAAGAAGGTCCTGAACTAGGACAGGTGCAGCAGGGATGGAGAGGAGGGGTCTAATTTAAGAAACATTTCGGTGGAGCTATACTGTTGTACTTAAAAACATAGACTTTGGAGTCAGACAGTCCTAGATTTTAATTCCAGCTCCACCATTTACTGCTTGTATGAATTTGAATGAGGTATGTAACCTTCTTCTTTGAGCCTTAGTTTTCTCACCTGTAAAATGGGGATAATAGCAGTATCCACCTTGTAGGTAATTATGAAGAAATTATATAATTAATATAAAGACCTTAGCATAGTGCCTAATGCATTGTAAGCATACAGTAAATGGTAATTCACATCCGTAAGACTTAGGGATTAATAACAGATTTGCTTATCTATTTATTGGTCACGAAGAGAGTCGGTCAGGATGGTAAGAGTGGATAGACAGGGAGACATTGAATTGGTCCTATTAGGCAATAAATGTTTCTTATGAAGACAGTAATATTAATCTTAGAATAAGCATAGGTAGTCACTGTTCTACAGCTGGAGTTCAGAATCGCCTGTGAGAGGTGGGAACCTGTTACGCCCTGACTAGGGATCTTTCAGCATGAGACAACCCTAGTTCTACTTTCATGGGCCACACAGCACTGCCCTCTAGTGGGTAGTGAGCAGAGCGGTCAGAAGGCAGCTCCCAATACACAAGCCCCCACTTCCATCTTCTGTGCCATCTTTCCTCTTCCACCAGAATAAAGCAGATGTGGGTGGATTGACCCACAGGTAGCAGGCCGTAGAGTTGGTAAATCTGGTCAGACATTTACATTCAACCCTCATCCATACTGAGAGGAGAACGTGCTTAGATAAGGAACAGCTAATCATACGCGTTTCCCTTCCTGTGTTCATTCCCAGTGGCCCACTGGTTCAGCCCTCTGTAGATGACCTTGTCGTGGTGTGGGGGCAGCCGCAGCTCTCTGTGGTTGATTGGCCAGTATAGAATGGAGACAGTGAAGCAGGCCTTTGCAGTGGAGCAGTGAGCTGTGGGAGTTGCCAAGTTCAGTAAATTTACAATGACAGGTTTCTTTCCGTTCTTTGGTCCACAGGCTTACCGCTTTTTGTCCAGCGCACAGTGGCGCGAACCATCGTTTTACAGGAGATAATTGGCAAGGGCCGGTTTGGGGAAGTCTGGCGTGGCCGCTGGAGGGGTGGTGATGTGGCTGTGAAAATTTTCTCTTCTCGTGAAGAGCGGTCTTGGTTCCGGGAAGCGGAGATATACCAGACAGTCATGCTGCGCCATGAAAACATCCTTGGATTTATTGCTGCTGACAATAAAGGTAAAGGGCTGGGTTTGGATGCGGGGTGTCCCAATGACAGCAGCATTCCAAGATGGAGGGCTGCTAGGAAATGAAACAGCTGTGTGCCTGCACAGCTCCATTTGCCTGTATAGTTACTACCTGTAATAGAAAGAAAATCTGAATAAGATCATAGTTTTCAGACTTTTCTTAAGATGTGAAACCCTTTATTCCAGCAAAAGTTTCAACAGAAGCCCAGTTTACTAAACAGATAAACAAGCAGTTTTTAAGCAGATAAACTAGATAAACCGCTTCAGTCCTGCCTGCTCGATTTTTCTTCCTTGACACTCACCCAAATCCACCCCCATTGTGGTCTCTGTATAGGCTCCAGTAAGTTTATTTTGAAAATTACTACAACGAGGAATAATGGCCTCAACCCCTGTGAGGAAAGGGCAGCTCCGGCAGGCAGAAAAGCATCTAGCCCGTGTATTCTGTGGCATGACCAGAACCATATACATGTAACTTTTCTAGTGGAGCAGGCATGCAGGAGGAGTGGCCGGCCTCCCCCAGAAGGACTACCTGGTGGCCTTCTAGCTCAGCTTTTGGCCTTGCCTGTACCTGAGGTCCCTATTTTCTTCCTTTTTCTCCCTCTTCTTGCTTTAGTTTTTGGTTCTTGTGTACCCAGGTACGTCCCTTGTGTACCCAGGCTCATCCCTATTTTTGAGAATCTCACTGACTAGCAAAGAGACAAGTAAACTAACAATAAATTATAGGCAGTGAGTACGAGTTGGCCAGGAAGAAAAAGCCCAGTGGGAAGAGCACTCCAGACACATGCAAAGGTGAGATGCATCTAGGAACCTGCAAGTAACTCAGGACGGCTGTGTTATGGCCAAAGATGTGGTGGAGATGTAGGCAAAGGCCAGTCTATGAAGGGCCGTTTTGAGAAGTGTGTACTTTCTTCTGAAGATAGTGGGGAGTAATTGAAATGTCACTCATTAATTCAACAACATTTATTGACTACTGCAGCCCAGGAACTCTGCATAAGAACAAGACCCAGGCCCACCCCTCACAGAGCTCCCAGTAAGAGGGGGAGACAGACACCTGGACAGGTAGTGCACCTGACATGCAGAAAAGACCATGAGGTTATTGGGTTTACACTTAGCAGGGTCCCTCTGGCATTATTGATGCAGTTTGCTCCCATGGCACAGAGATTTAAAGTTGGTGTCTACAGAACCTACAGAAGATGCTGTGTATTTATTGTTCTTCCTTAAAACAACAGCAGGCTGCTCATTCCTCACATTGCTGTGGGGCTTTGTAATGGCCTCAGCTGTCCCCAAGCTGCAGAGTCTTGGACTCAACATGAGAAGGGGGAGAGAGAATTTTACTCCCTCTGAGCAAGCTGTTCTTTTTAAAACAGCATCACCTTTTGAAAAATTTAAATCTTCTGTATATTTTAAAGGATCAAAAAGGTGTCTTCCTTTTCAACTCATTTGTAGGGTCCTCATCTTCAGGGCTGGTTAGAGTGTGTGGAGGGTGTGCTGGGTGGGCCCTTGTTTGTCATCAGTGAAGCCAAGAGTGGTGCTGCTTCTCCAGGAGCCACTCCCTTTATTGATTCTGGCAGCTGTGTGAGTCGGGTTCTGGCTGTTGAAACCCACATTAGGGCCAAGGAAGGAGAAAAATCTTATTCCATTCTTGCCTTTTTAACATGATACATAGTATGGTGTTCTGGAACTAGTGCCAGCTTGGAATTTGGGAGGTCTCAATCCAATTTCCAGTCTTCCTTTTGACAACACCATAGCCTAATTAGATTATCTGCTTTTGGTTTTCCTTTTTTTTCCCTCCATCCCTCTGCCCTCCTCTTTCTCCGTGCCCCACTGCACACACTCCCCGTGTATAAAAGAGAGAAAATAGAAGTGCATACTAGCCCCCTTCCATTGCTCTCCTGAGGATAAGCTGACCTCTCTGTGGAATACTTGCAAGAGTACTATTCATGTATTGAAAAGTATTTTTTGGCCTGGGATACAATGATGCATAAACGAGGTCTTTCCTGCTCTCACAGAATAGAGCAGTAGGCTTAAAAAGAAACATTACAGATGAGACAGGTGCTGTGGTTAGGCTGTGTTCACCAGGGCTTGAGCCTGTTGGGTCTGGTTCGGACCCCTGCTGAGAACTTGCATTTCTAACAAGTTCCCTGGTTAGGGACCAGTTCTGAGAACCACTAGTAGAACAGTGGTTCTCAAACTTTATTATACATAAGAATCACCTGGGGGTCTTGTTAAACTGTAGATTCTGATTCAGTAGGTCTAGGGTGGAAATGGAGCCCTGGTGGTGCAGTAGTTAAGAGCTCAGCTGATAATCAAAAGATTGGCAGTTCGAATCCACCAGCCATTCCTTGGAAACCCTATGGGGCAGATCTCCTCTGTCCTGTAGGGTCACTATGAGTTGGAATCGACTCATAGATGGCAGTGGGTTTGGTTGGGGTGGAAATGCAAGTTGTCCGCAGGGGTTCTAACCAGAACGAACCAGTTTGAAGCACTGGTGTTCACAGTGTCATTGGAGCACAGAGAAGGAGCTGAGACGCCTTCCTCTTGGTGGTGGTGGGTGCAGCCAGTTATCGTTGCTAAAGTGTTGATGAGCCTGTCGTTTCAAGATCAAAAGCAGCATTACACCACTAAACACATGATACCTGTCAGCTTTCCATAAGCGTATGCTTCCTCTTCTCCTGGATACCTCACGTGTCCAAATTTGCTTTAAAAATGTAGCACTGTGTAGAATCCTGAAGTCTACCTATAAGAATAAGGGAGCAGGCCAAAGGAAAAAAACACTGTTCCTCTGGCCTTTCTGGAGCCCAAAAGTGGACACCTGTAGATGAAACGGGCACAGAGGGTGGCATTTGGAGGTGTAGAGGTGACAAGTGCAAATTCAGGAGTCTGACTGGGTTTTGGGATATACACGTATGCTTCCTTTTTGCTGCTAGTTGTGCCTTTTCTGGAATTCATGTGTGGTTCTCTGCAGATACCACCAGCGGCTCTGCAGGAGAAAGATGTGGCAGTCTGCTTCTGTAAAAATTTACAGCCTTGGAAACCCTGTTGGGGCAGTTCTGCTCTGTCCTATAACATCGCTATGAGTTGGCATTGACTCGATGGCAATGGGTTTGGGTTTTTTGTTTTTTTTCTCTGCAGATAACGGCACCTGGACACAGCTGTGGCTTGTCTCTGACTATCACGAGCATGGCTCCCTGTTTGATTATCTTAACCGGTACACAGTGACAATCGAGGGGATGATCAAGCTGGCCTTGTCTGCTGCTAGTGGGCTGGCACACCTGCACATGGAGATTGTGGGTACGCAAGGTGAGCGGACCCAGCCAAGCAGCAGTGTGGTCGGGTAGACTTTAAAAGCCTATGTCATCCTGATTTAGTTCCCAGAATTCCTTTTTACTGAAAGAGCTGGGGCTGGGGCTGGGCCTCAGGAACGACTGTCTAATCTAAAGGGAAGAAGTTTGTACTTTACTTGAGCAAAAACAAGAGGTCTAGGAAGGGAGTCCTCTTCACCTCTGTTTTAGAACTCCTTAGGGGACTGTGTAATGTAACTGTTGCATTATTTGTCATTTGGTAGACTGACATAGTAGTTTGTTGGTAAGCTAGCATTTATTAAGGAAGCCCACAGTATGTGTGTAAAAGAATGGAACTAAGAAGATAAAACAAATGCATGGACCATCATTTTAGTAATTTCACACATTCATTGGTAGGAGAGCTGGATTTAAGACTGCTTGGTGGATTAGACACTGGGCTTTACAAATCTAGGAAGATTATCTTGGAAGAAAAAGACCTCGAGCTTTCCTGTTGTTGACTACGATAATCACCTTTTTTGGGAGATTCCTTAATCTTTTCATAGCGGCAGGCATTAAAGTTTGATTCCGTTCCTAGGCCGTGGAGTGATATTAGCAGTCCTCATCTTTGGGCCTGTTTGATTCTGAGAACCTAGCCAACACCACAGCTTTTCTTCTTATTCCTCAGCAGTTCTGTGCCTGGGTATGTTAGGTTCAGGGAAGGCAAGTAGTGGTGGTAGCGATATTAGCTAATATACATGCCCTTCTAAGTTCTTTATTTACTTACATCAGTGCATTAATCCTCATAACATTCCGTGAAGTAAGTATTGTTGCTGGGTTAGTGGGAAGCAAAGCCAAGGCTTGAACCTACACAGTCTGGGCTTTTAACCTTTATCCTAGCTTTCTTTAAAATTCCTTCCCCCCTCCTCCACCAGGGAAGCCTGGAATTGCTCATCGAGACTTGAAGTCAAAGAACATCCTGGTAAAGAAAAATGGCATGTGTGCCATCGCAGACCTGGGCCTGGCTGTTCGTCATGATGCAGTCACCGACACCATTGACATTGCCCCAAATCAGAGGGTGGGAACCAAACGGTAGGAAGGCCCCGGGCCTCTGCCTTTCTCAACAGCATGTACTGAGTATCCCATGTATGCCCTTTTCCATATGCACAGGAGAAGAAGGCACAGAAAAAGGAGGTGTGGTCCTTGCTCTCAGACAGTTAAAGTCAAGTTGAACACCTGCCCTCCATGCTGGAACACTACTCAGGTTACATCTAATAGACACAGGTAGTACAAGCGCAGCTTCATAGAACTATACACGTAGGTGGTGGTGGTAGTGGTGAGGGCAGCAGAGAAAATGGAGGAGCTAGAGTCAGATATAGGTTGGTAATACTTCGTGCAAAAAAAGAATCTGGAGCAGGATTTGGAAGGAGGGCAGGTACCAGGCTTGGCTGGGGCAAGAGGAGAAATATTGCAGCCCAAAGGGATGGGCTGTGCAGAGACCCCTGAGGAAGCAGGGAGTGTGCTCTGCTTGAGGTTTGGAGAGCAGGTGTGCTAGACTAGAGCAGAGGTGGTCTCAGGTGGAGATTGGGGCATCCTTAAGCATTATGGACCTGCTTCCTACACCTACAGAAGTGAAGAAGGAGTTGTGATTGCAAGATGGACCTTATGAGTTGGAAATGGGACTGCCTTCTCTTTTTTTTTTTGGTGGTAAAATATATATAATAAAAAATTTACCTTTTTAACCATTTTTAAGTGTACAATTGAGTGACATGAATTACTTTCACCATGTTATGCAAACATCACCACTATGTAGTTCCGAAAGTTTTTCATCACCACAGACAGAAACTCAGTACTCCTTAAGCAGTATCTCCCCATTTGTCCTTCCTTATAGCCGCTGGTAACCACTAATAACCTTTGGTATCTGCCTTTGCCTATTCTAGATATTTCATATAAGTGTGATCATACAATATTTGTTCTTTTATATTTGACATTTCACTCAGCATAATGTTTTGTTATAAAGTTGCTATGAATTGGAGCCAACTCGACAGCAACCACCAACAACATTTTCAAGGTTCATCCATGTTGTAGTGCATATTAGAACTTAATTTCTGTTTATAGCTGAGTAATATTTCACTGTATGTATATACCACATTTTATACATTCATCTGTTGATGGACACTTGGGTTGTTTCCACCTTCTGGCTATTGTGAATAATGCTGCAGTGAACACTGGTGTTCAGGTATCTGTTTGAGTCCCTGTTTTCATTTCTTTTGGGTGTATACTTAGGAGTGGAATTGCTGGGTCATATGGTAGTTCTATGTTTAACTTTTTGATAAACCACCGAACTGTTTTCCACAGTGACTGCACAATTTTACATGTCTACCAGCAATGTGCAAGATTTCCAATTTCTCCACGTCTTCACCAGCACTTGTTATTTTCCATTTTTCTGATAATAGCCATCCTAGTGGGTGTGGAGTAGTATCTCATTGTGGTTTTGATTTCCGTGTCCCCAGTGACTAATGATGTTGAAAGTGTTTTTATGAGATTATTGGCCATTTCTAAATCTTCCTTGGAGAAATGTCTGTTCAGATTCTTTTCCCATATTTTAATTGTGTTGTTTGTCTTTTTGTTGTTGAGTTGTAGGCGTTCTTTATATATTCTGGATATTAAACCCTTATCAGATATATGATTACCATATATTTTCTCCCATTCTGCAAGTTGTCTCATCACTTTCTTGATAAAGTCCTTTGATACACAAAAGTTTTTAATTTCACTCCTAGGTATACACGCAAAAGAAGTGAAAACAGGTACTCAAACATACTTGTACACCAATGTTCTTTGCAGCATCTTTCACTGTAGCCGAAAGGTAGAAACAACCTGAGTGTTCATCAACAGATGAATGAATGAATAAAATGTGGCATATACGTATAATGGAATATTATTTGGCCATAAAGAGAAAGTTTTGATCGTGCTGACATGGGTGAACCTTGAAAACATGCTGAGTAAAATCAGGCAGGCACACAAGGACAAATACTGTATGATCTCATTTGTATGAAATATTTAGAATAGGTCAATGCGCAGAGGCCAGAGGTTATTAATGGCTACCAGGGGTAGATAGGAGTGGGCAATCAGGAAATATTAAGGGGCACTGAGTTTCTGTTAAGGGTGGTGAAAAAATTTGGAAACAGGTAGTGGTGATGTTTTCACAACATGATGAATGTAAATGTCACTGAGTTGTACACGTAAAAATGGATGAAATGGCAAATGTTTTGTTGTGTATGTTTCACCAGAAAAACATTTTTTAAAAGCAAGAGCAAACAAAGAAAGTTTTTAATATTGGTGAAGTCCAGTTTATTTTTTCTTTTATTGCTCATGCTTTTGATATCAAAGAATCTATTGTCAAAACCAAGGTCCCCTGTTTTCTTGTAAGAGTTTTACTCTTATATTTAGGTCGCTGATCCATTTTTAGTTAATTTCCATACGTGTGTGAGGTGGAGACTGCCTTTTAATAGGATGGAAGTGGGGGGGGGGTCTGTTTACTTGTTGAATCTCAGTGAATTTCACTAAATCGTATGGCTGCTTTTTTCCTTTCTTTTGACAATCATTGCAGCTACCCAGTCCCCAAAGTGTGGGGCCTGAGGTGATTGCTTGATTTGCTATACTGTGGTTCAAGTAGTAGTAATTAAATAAGAGTGACTTTGACAACTACTGAAAATTAATTTTTACAATAACTGCAATCAGGTAAGATAACAAAAGAAATTGAGGATGAAATTTAAGCTCAACCCATCCCTGTGGCTACAGTAAACAAAGTAAAAGACCCCAGTATACCTGTTGCCACTGAGTCAATTCCCACTCATAGTGACCCTACAGGACAGAGTAGAACTGCCCCATAGGGTTTCCAGGGAGCGACTGGTAGATTTGAACTGCCGACCTTTTGGTTAGCAGCTGAGCTCTTGACTACTACATCACCAGGGCTCCACAGAAAGACCCCAGTAGCAACCAAATAATACGTACATGACTGCCATGTGAACCACACTATAAGTACCTCTGCCAAGAAATCAAAACATGTTTAAAATAAGCAAACCTTGATGGTTAAAGAATGGAGATACAAATAAGAGTAGCCTATTATTGCCCAATCTATGATGAAGTATTTAGATTTGAATCCAAAACATACGGGAGACTGCAATAAAGAGAATTGATCACTTTCTCCTCCCTAGGGGACTTTCTTAGGCTGACGCTCTGTAGTTGAGGTTGGTAATATCTATTCCACATTCAGAAGGCCCCTCAATCAATACTTGGATTTAAAAGAGAGATATCGTCAACATATACGTGTTTTTATGCCTGATCTTGTTTCCTTTGTTGTTGCAGATACATGGCCCCCGAGGTACTTGATGAAACCATAAACATGAAACACTTTGACTCCTTTAAATGTGCTGATATCTATGCCCTCGGGCTTGTATATTGGGAAATTGCTCGAAGATGCAATTCTGGAGGTACCTTTCTGTTTTGCCTTCTCTTTCCCCTACCTCCCTGTTCCTTTCTTTATATAACTGGTCAGGATGCTTGGTGTCAGAGCCCGAATCATACATGGTTCTCATCAAAGATATGGAACCTTGGAGGCAGCTGTGTCTAAGGGTGTGTTTACTCTTTGAACCACCAGCTTGTTGAGTAGTTGCCATAAAGCAGTGCTTTACCTTGTGGTAACCATTCTGGAGGCTCATTTGACCTTTTTTCTTAAATGCATTGTCTCTGTTGGCCCAAGGGGGTGAGGGATGCCCTTAGTGCACATAGCAGAGCATCACTGTAGGGTCTCCCTTACGTTGGAGGCAGTATGTTCTAATGCCCTGGATCTTAAGCCATGTTCCTAGGTAGCGCTGGTGTTTCGCTGCGAAAATAGTAGCGGGGATTTCTCAGTTTGCAGGAGAAAGCTTACTAATGCATAGAATTTTCTCAGAGTGAGTTTTTTCCTCCCATAATTTTTTCTTAAATCTTTGGCACTTACGAGTACTTATCCATGTCAGAATCCAGTAAAGGGTAGTATCACATTTAGCAGAAAACATTTTTCCCATCAGCTTAGTATATCAGCATTTTATGGTGTGCTCCACAAAGAGCGCCTTGACTTCCTAGTACTCTGCTACTTGATCCAGTTTAAGAAACTACTTTTCTAGTGTAACACTGCTCTCAGCCATTTATCTCAGCCCACATAGGTATCACAGCAACATGCAAGCCACCACTGTACTATAACTGTTAGATAGTGGTGAACAATAATAATAACAACATTTGTTCAGCACTTTCTGTGGATAAACTCATGTGATCTTTATGACAAACCTGTGAAGTAGGTACTGTGTCAACATTTTGCAGGTGAAGAAAATGAGTCACCAAGAGGTTAAGTAATTTGTCCAAGGTCAGACAGCTAGTGAAGATTCAAACCCCAGCAAGCTGAGCTTAAACTCTTAACTACCTTTAAATAATTATCAAGTCAAACTCTGTTTAAAATCCTGTCCCATTATCTCAGAGCAGCAGGGTCTTTCCTGGAAAAAGACATAAGAAAGTTTCATTGTTTTTTTTTAAATTACCTTTTTTTTACCATGGAAAATATTTTCGTTTGTAACTCTGAGAGATAAGGACATAAGATGCCATGTTGTTATCATACTTCAGGAAATTACCATTAATTTTTTAATACTATTTAATACTCAGGCAGTGTTGAGATTTTACCAGTCATCTCCTCATTTTTTTTAGAACAGTTCAAATCAGGGACCAAATAGGATCCATCTGTTGCAGTTAATTGATAGATCTCTTAAGTCTCTTATAATCTTCAGGTTCCCCCTCCTTTTTTTTTTTTTTCTTCTGCATTTTATTTATGGAGAATCCAGGTCATTTGTCCTGTAAAGTTTTCCGGTCTAGAATTTGCTTATTGCCTCCTCATAGACAATGTTCAGTTCCTGGTATTTCCTATGAATTAGACCTAGCAGCTAGACTCATATTTGATTTTTTTTGGCAATAATTCTTCATAGACGTTATTCTATACTTCCAGCACAGGGTTATCTCTGCGCTGTTAGCAGCCATCAGTTATCATTGTCCAAATCCAGATTCATTACAAGTTGAAAAATGCCGATATCCTGATTCTGTCAAACAGGTATTAGCTGAATTTCTTCTTTAAAGAGAAATTTCCCCTAATTGTATATTTGGTTACCAAGATGTATAGTTTGAATAGGAAAGGCAGGATGAATACTTAATTCTTTGTTTATTTACCATTTTTCAAAATGAACTTGCACCCTAGCATCCTCCAAAGGTAACATCAGGTTTTTCTTTTTAAGTATCATTGTGAACTGATGGATTTAAAAATATTTGCTCAAATGTTCTCATTTCTGACCAGTTGGGATCTTTTCAAGTTGGTATGTGACCCCAGTAGTCTTTGACAGTTTCTTTGCTTTTAGTATAAAAAAAGATGTTCTTGGCTAATATGTGTTTCTTGTCTCATATTGGGAATTGACCAGCTTCTCCCTGGAGCCCTAGTTTGTCTTAGTGGGAAATGGTATTTACAGACCACAATGTGGGTGTTGTCATTGGCTTTTGAGTAATCTCTTCCTTTTGTTGATAACTCAGGTTGATAATTTCTTTTCTCCCAGGAGTCCATGAAGAATATCAGCTGCCATATTATGACCTAGTGCCCTCTGACCCTTCCATTGAAGAAATGCGAAAGGTTGTATGTGACCAGAAGTTACGTCCCAACATCCCCAACTGGTGGCAAAGTTATGAGGTAGGAAGCTTCCCTGCCTTTGCAGCTTTTCCATCTGCCTGATTTTTCTACCTTAGAAAAAGGTCTTGTGACAACAGAGCCAGCCCCCAGGGATACCCCCTGAGTGGGTCAGTAGGCCTAGGCTAGTCTGTACTGAGTCCTTTGGGACCACAGTCCCTTGTCCTGGGCACTAGCATGCCCTTTAGAGTTGACAGCCTAGAAGAAGAAAAAGGCTTCATCCCCAGGACACAGTTAAGGGAGGTAGTTACCAAGAGACAGAGACAAAAGCTGAACCGGGAGTTAGTAGACCTGTCTGACTACAAAAATAGCCTGGAAACTGCAGGTGTGAGCTGAGCTCTGTAGAAGAGTTGAAAAGAGACATCCATAAAGGAAGCTGTTAGGGTTTAGAAGAATGAGGGGGCAAGGACTTAGCCTGGGGACATGTCTGTAAAGGAAGTGACCTTTCTAAAATCTCTGAAGAAAGGCAGGAGGATGACATGTGAAAGGGTTGGGATTAGGATGGAGAATTTGAATTGGGGAGATAGGGCAGATGAAGCGGGGAGGGGACAATATTTAGTGGAAATAATTGAAATGAAGACAAATTTATGACAGATTCCTGATAAAGGTGGAATTCTGGGGTCTTAAGAGACTTTGGGGATGGGGGGCAGAGTTTGCCTAGCTAACTGCACATGGGCCTCCTTTTATACAGTGGCTGTTTCTCAAAACTATACCACTAGAGGGCATTTGTGATTTAGGGACAAAGCTACTCCGTTGACATTATAGTTGATGCCTTCCCATTGCATAATAAACCCATTGCTGTCAAGTCACTTCCATCTCATAGCGACCCTATAGGACAGAGTAGAACTGCCCCATAGGGTTTCCAAGGCTGTAATGTTTATGGAAGCAGACTGCCACATCTTTCTGCCATGGAGCGGCTGTTGGCTTCAAACTACTGACCTTTTGGTTTGCACTTAACCACTGCACCACCAGGGCTCCTTCCATTGCATAATAGGGCAGCATTTTTCAAAATGTTTATGGGAACTCTTGGGTTAGGGTTTTCTTCAGAGGATGAGGATGAAGCTGAAAGCTGGTCTTTAGCTGCCCTCCCCCTGCAGTCAGTGCTGTCTGTAGTTTTCTGTTTTATATGTTGGGGTTGTGCTTAGGAAAGTGAGTTCCACTAACTGAAAACTAATTTTGGCCCTGGCAATCAGAAATTCATAGCCCTCATAACAAAGTTTATTAAGAAATTGTTCTACATCCTACTTTGGTGAGTGGCGTCTGGAGTCCTAAAAGCTTGCAAGCAGCCATCTAAGTTGCATCAATTGGTCCCAACCACCTGGAGTAAAGGAGAATGAAAAACACTAAAGACACAAGGAAAGTATTAGCCCAAGAGACAGAAAGGGCCACATAAACCAGAGACTTCATCAGCCTGAGACCGGAAGAACTAGATGGTACCCAGCTACCACCAATGATTGCCCTGACAGGGAACACAACAGAGTCCCAGATGGAGCAGAAGAAAGGTGGGGTGCAGAACTCAAATTCTAGTAAGAAGACCAGACTTAATGATCTGACTAAAACTAGAGAAACCCCAGAAAGCATGGCCTACGGATTCTCTATCAGCCCAGAACTAAAACCATTTCCAAGGCCAACTCTTCAGACAGGGATTGGACTGGCCTGTGGGACATAAAGTGATGCTCGTGAGGAGTGTGCCTCTTACCTCAAGTAGATACAAGAGACTAAATGGGTAGCTTCTGTCCAGAGGGAAGATGGGAAGGCAGAGAGGGTTGGGAGCTGGTTGAGTGGACATGGGGAATCGGGTGGAAAGGAGGAGTGTGCTGTCAAAGTAGGGGGAGAGTAATTAGGGTCACTTCACAATGTATATATAAATTTTTGTATGGGAGACTAACTTGAAATGTAAATTTCATTTAAACTACAACAATTAAAAAAAAAAATTCATAACCATCAATAACCAGTAGCAGTCCATAGGTGCCTTCCTAACCTACCTCCTGGCCTAACCATAGTTGTCTTCTTTGTTGTGGGGAAATGGCAGTGTAGCTTTCTGCCTCTGACAGAGTTGCTTTAAGGAGATGCTTTCCTCTTCGTTCACCACCCCGTCTCTGCATGTGAACTATGTCTTTTTTCTTTTTTTTAAAACATAATTAGTAAACAATCAGAAAATGGATTCTTAAACCTGTAGGAATGATTTTCAGATCACATGGTGTTTGGGGGTGTCTCTTTCAAGATTTTCCAGACGATGGAGAGTGGCTGACTGCACTTGGTCAGAGAAGGATCTCCACTCTTCTCCAGGCTGCAGCTTTTTCCTCTCACCTGTGCAACCTGTCCCTTAAAGAAGGAAGCGCCATGGGGAGAGGAAAGCTTACAAAGCATTTCCCTAAGGTCAGAGGGGGAGGGAGGAGAGATTCTGACAGACTTTGGACTGCGGAGGCAGTGGCAGGGAAATGAGCAAGAGCCTAGAGATCAGAAAGGCTGTTTCCAAGGCAGGTCAACTGATGTCCTCTGGTCTCTTGCAGGCGTTACGGGTGATGGGGAAGATGATGCGAGAGTGTTGGTATGCCAACGGCGCGGCCCGCCTGACTGCTTTGCGCATTAAGAAGACCCTCTCACAGCTCAGCGTGCAGGAAGACGTGAAGATCTAACCCTGCTCCCCCTTCCCCTACACGCAACCCTAGGCAGTGAGAACTACACTTCGAGCTGCTGTGTTGAGCGTACGATGGAGGCCTACCTCTCGTTTCTGCCCAGCCCTCCGTGGCCAGGACTCCTGGCCCACAAGAGGGACAGAGCCCGGGAGACTCGCTCACTCCCATGTTGGGTTTGAGACACAGACAACCTTTTATATTTACCTCCTAATGGCATGGAGACTCTGAGAGCGAATTGTGTGGAGAACTCAATGCCACGACTCAAACTGGTTGTAGTGGGAAGTCCCACAAACCTTGGTGCACCTGGCATACGGTCGGGAGCTGGTGAAAGGGGTGACCTGGGAGGTGGAAGGAGCCGAGTTGTTGCCAGTGCTAAGCAGCACTGAGGGTTTCCCTTCAGGGACCAACCCACAGCACACTGAAGCGGCCTAAGGGGCCAGAAGTGCAGCCCCTCTTGCAGGCAGCTCTGAGCCAAGTGCTCCCTTCCTCCCTCGCAAGGACATCTGGAGGGATTGCCAGTGGAGACCGAGTCTGCAGCTGTCTGTCCAGCTGTGTGTGCATGTACCGAGGTGCGTCCCCTGTTGTGCCTGGTCTGTGCCACACCCTTACACGTGTGTGTGTGTGTGTGTGTATGTATGTATGTGTGTATGTGTGTGTCTGTAGGTGCGCACTTACCTGCTTGAGCTTTCTGTGCATGTGCAGGTCTGGGGTGTGGTTGTCCTGCTGTCTCTGTGTGCTGGTACCTCTGGGTTCAGTAGTGAGCAGCATCTAGTTCTCTGGTGCCCTTCCCCTGGAGGCCCCCCTTCCCCCTCCTCCAGAGCCCCCCTATGCCATGGTGGGACTCCCTTCCTACTGGCTGCTCTGCCCACCCCTGTGTCAGCACAGTTGTTCTTCTCCATTTCAGACTGGAACCAAAGCTGGCCTAGTTGTCCATGGCAGAAGGCTTTTGGGTCAAAATGTGAGAGGAGGGTTTGGGATGGGCAGGGAAAGAATCTTGGCAAGAGAAAGAATCTTGGGTGTTGTGGTCAGTGACATTCATGGGAAAGGAGCCAGCCCAAGGGCATCATACCCATCAGCATCAAGGAAGGGCCAAGGAATTTGAAGCGCAGATCTTGGGACTCAGAATGTCACATCTGTCTTTCATATCCCAGATTCTGGAAACAGCAGTGTATATTTTTGGTGGTGGTGGGTTTGGGGTGGGGAGGGGGATGGGGGGGCGAGGAGTGGAGAGGGAGCCTGGTTTGGGGGGTGGGGGCATCTGCATGGGTCTTGTTTTACTGGATTATCTGATTAGGGTGGAGGGAAAATGTGAGATTTGCATCCACTTCAGGGGCCCTACCAAGGAGGGAGCAGTGTGAGCTGACATATTTAACCTGAGTATAGTATTTAATGAAGTCTAGAAGCACGGTTGTGGGTGGTGATTTGGTCAGCGTATCTTAGGTATATAATAACTTTGAAGCCATAAATTTTAACTGGAGTGGTTTGCTTTTTTTTTTTTTTAAATTGGGAGGGTCTGGATTTTAACTTTTTTTAATATTGTTAAGTTTTGTAAAAGGAAAACCATCTCTATGCGATGATTACCTCTCAATCTATTTGTTTTTAAAGAAATCCCTACAAAAACAACCACAAAAAAAGAAAAGTCTCCAGTCAAACGCACACAGCTCAATCACACACTGGAAATGTTTGTCCTTGTACCTGAGCCTGTCCCCACTCAGCAGTGAGATTTCCTCTTTGCCCTCGGGGGTTGGTCTCTCTTGCCCTCTGTTCCCCCATCCCTTTACCCGATCGCATGAGTGGTTTTTTGGTCTAGGACCCTAGTCTTGTGTGCATCGTCCAGCTGGTTGTGCCTTTTCCTCCAGGCATTTTCTCAACAAATGTTTATTGAGTGTCTGTTGGGTGCCAGGCACTGTACTAGGCACTGGGAATACATCTGTGATCGAGACAGGCTTGGTCCCACTCTTGGAGCACTGAAGAGGGAGTTGATTCAAGGAAGTGGGGGCCTGTTTTGAGACCAGAAGTTTTCACAGTTGGTTCTGAGAGCCTTTTGAGCCTGTAATTATGAACCGAGGAGAGGCTGCCCCCCACACAAGGGACTGCTAGTGGGGCAGTAGGTCCTGGGTTTCTAAGCCCCAGTGAGACACCAAATCATTGCATTCATTCTGAGCCCCCTCCCTGCCCCCCAGGGGAGGTCCATTATGTATGCAGCCTCAGAGCATCTCTGCCTCTACAGCCCAGTGAGTCTCTGCCAAAGCCTGTGGAGGGGCAAGAGCCCTCCCTGTGGACCTCGGTCTCCCCAGTGCACCTGGCCTTTCTATTTATTTTCCTGATGTGTTGCTGCTTTCCTTGCATTAAAGGAGATCCTCCCCAAACCCTTTAGGCCAATTTACTGGCCACTAATTTTCCTTGAATACTAATTATGTCATTAGGGGTTCTTTGCCCACCCCTGCTGGGCCCCACCTGTCTGCCCTGGAGCAGAACCTTCGTGGGTTATAGGTGATGGTGGAACTTCCACTCTGCCCCCAGACACAACTAGCCTCTGGGATCTGCCGACACATCGACCCAGCAACTCCCAAGCTACTAGCTGGCTCCCCAGGTAGCCCTTCTGTGCTCACCACACCTGCAGTCCAGCTCCTCCACCTCTGGGGAAGACTGAGCAGTTTTTTGGGAAGCCTCCCACCCTGCATACTCTTAACACCAAGAGCTGGGGAGAAACTACAGCTGTGTTTTTTGGCCCCCTGAGGCTAACCCTGGTCCATAGGGCTACCTGCACCTGTGGATTCTGGATTCACAGACCAAGTCCAAGCCCGTTCTTCTGTCGCCATCAAGGCCCCCGAACGGCATTCTCGGTACTTCTGTTTGTTTTTGTACATTTTATTAGAAAGGACTGTAAAATAGCCACTTAGCCACTTTACCTCTTCAGTATGCAAATGTAAATAAATTGTAATATAGGAAATCTTTTGTTTTAATATAAGAATGAGCCTGTCCAATTTCTGCTGTACATTATTAAAAGTTTTATTCACAGTTTTTCAGGTGCCATGTGTCTTACATATGTTGAGTGACCACCCAGCTTTTGTCAGGGAAGTTGGGAACGGTGTAGATGTTCTAAGGTAGTATTTCTACCCCCCAATTTGTCAGGGTCTGATGGTAACACTGGTTGCAGCAGGTCACATCCAGAAGAGGTGCTGATCTGAACTTTTGTGGGGCTTCCTGAGACGTGTGTGTGTGTGTGTGTGTGTGTTTTCATGGACGTGTAGGCCATGGCATGTAAAAGGGAACAAAAGACAACACTCTTGGGTTTTGTATTTGTCTTCTAGCATTTTTCTCTATACAAAAGAGGGTCTTTGATCCTAATTAGTCACACACCAGCTTGTCTCGAAGGCAACCTAAGAGCTCTCCCTAGTTTTTGCTACCTCTTCCTAAATTGGAGTATAAATGTGAAATTGGAGTGCCTAGGTATGAGGAAGACCCTCAGTGAGATGGACTGAGACAGTGGCTGCAACAGTGGGCTCAAACATAGCAATGATTGTGAGGATGGCACAGGACTGGGCAGTGTTTCTGTTGTACATAGGGTCTCTATGAGTTGGAACCAACTTGACAGCACCTAACAGTAGACATGGTTAAGCGCTTGGCTGCTAACTGAAAGGCTGGTAGTTCAAACCCAGCCAGCAGCCACTGGAGAAAAACTTGGTGATCTGTTCCCTTAAAGATTACAGCCTAGAAAATCCTATGGGGGCAGTTCTGTTCTGTCACATGGAGTCGCTATAAGTGGAAATCAACTTGAGGGTACCTACCAACACCAAGTGACTGAGATGGGAGTCTTCAGTCGTTTACTCTGGTGTGTTTCATTGTGTGGGTGGGTGTGAATGTCTTCTATCTCTAGGCTGAGGGAACCCAAAATAGCAAGACTAGAATCATAGAATCTCAAGTTTAGATGGGACCCGAAAAGTCACCTACTCCATCTATGAGGTACTCGACTCCCCTGCAGCATCCTTGCCAAATGGTTGTATGGCCTCGTGTTTAACACTTCAGGACCATAACTTTTTTTAAATTGTTCTTTAGGTGAAGGTTTACAGAACAAATAGTTTCTCATTAAACAGTCAGTACACATACTGTTTTATGATATTGGTTAACAACCCCACGACATGTCAACCCTCTGCCTTCTTGACCTTTTTTTTTTTTTGGTGAAAATATACATAGCCAAACATAACACCATTTCAAAAATTTCTACATGCACAGTTCAGTGACATCAACTACGTTCTTCCAGTTGTGCTGCTATTCTCACTTTAGATGGTTTACAGAACAAAATAGTTTCTCATTAAACAGTACACATGTTGCTGTATGACAATGGTTAACCTCACTACATGTCAACACTGTCCTTACTCAACCTTGGGTTCCCTATCAC